AAGACCCTGCTCTAAGCCAAAAGAACCCTGGAGAAAGGAGAGGAAACTGAAGCAAATTGCATGTAGGTGTGTATTATTTTGAACACAGCCTGCGCTCACCTATTCAGATCAAGGTAAGCTTAAAAGTATACCAGCATTGTGGTGGGACCCAACACATCAATGTCAAGTGGGGAGCCCAACTACTACTGTGTGACAGTGGTATTTCAGCAAGTATTACTCCAATACTGGTAAGATTGTAGCAGGTGATGCTTGGACAAGAGGTACCTTTCACTATGCCTCAGGCAGGCAGTTGGTAGTATTTCTGTTATACAGATGTGGAAGTTGAAGTGACTGACCCTGCTAGCCCAGAGGCCACAGCTGGCCTGGCCTCTGCCACTGCTACTGCTGCCAAAGCCACCCATGGCACAGACCCTTGTTATTAGGCCTCTACATCTTTACTAGTTCTTTCTTGAACAGACAGGGTTAGCTGCTGTTTTGTTCAACAAACAAATGAAGGGCCTATTTCTGTTAAAAAAAAATAAGACCATTCAAAAGGGAAGCAGGTTGTTAATATCTGTGGAGTACAGAGAGGTTAGCAGAGCAGATAAATTATAATGAACCATAAAACCATTATCTGTGTTTGGTCCATAGTTTTTAGTGTTCAGTAAAATTAGGATTTTTATTCCCAAGCCCATCTAATTAAAGCGTTTTAGGATCACTGGGTCATAGGAATAGTAGGCCAAGAAGGAACCTCACAGAGTCATCTAGTCCAACCCCCTGCTCAAGACAAGATTACCCCCTGCCTAAACAATCCCAACCAAGTGTATAATCCTTTCTTGAAAATTTTCAGGGGTGGAGATTCCACAACTTCTCTAGGTAGCCTGGCCCAGTGCTTGACCACCCGCAGAGTCAGAAGATTCCTTTGAATCTCCAACTTAAATTTCCCCTGCTGAAGCTTGAGGCCATTGCTCCTAGTCCTGTCCCCTGTGGCAACAGAGAAAAGCCCATCTCCATCCTCTCTGTAATTGCTTCAGGTATTTGAAGACTGTTATCATATCATGTTATCAAGTCTTCTCTTGTCTAGACTAAATAACCCTAGTTCTTTCAGCCTTTCCTCACAAGTCATGCTCCCCAGCCCTTTAATAATTTTTGTTGCTTTCTGCTGGACTCTCTCCAGTCTGTCCACATTCTTCTTAAAGTGTGGGTCCCAAACTTTCCAAGTGACTGGAAGAATCACTTCAGTGGATTTGCAAGTGACACTCCTGTTAATATAACCCAGTATACTGTTGACCTTTTTGCAACAAGACCATACTGCTGGATTATTCAGTTTATGGTTTAATGTAACCCCCAGGTCCTTCTCTGCAGTATTTCACTCAACTTGGTGTCATCTGCAAATTTGCTAAGTGGGCACTTGATCCCATCATCCATATAATTAATGAAGATATTAAACAATACCAGACCCAGGACAGACCCCTGGGGAATCGTACTTAATACCTTCACCCAACTAGATATCAAGCCATTGATGACTATTGGTTGAGCATGATGCTCCAGCCAATTATGCATTCACCTTACACTACTTTCATCTAGTTTGTATTTCCTTAGCTTATTAATAAAATAGCCTTGCTAAATTCAAGGTATATCATATCTACTGTTTTCCTCCCATCCAGAGAGCCTGTCACCCTATTAGAAAAGAAAATCAGGTTGGTGAGGCATGACTTGTTTTTGTCTGTAATTCCTTCCCCTTCTTAAAGGTGGGTACTCTAGCTGCCCTTTTCTAGTCTTCTAGGACCTCACCTGGCCTCCACATGGTATAAATAACTAAGGGCTCTGAAATAACCTCAGCCAATTTCTTGTATAATGTGGTCTGTATTTTCATCATTTGGACTGAAAACCTGCAATCTCTGACTGAGTTCCATCAGAAATTCCATCGTCACCCCTCCATCCAACTATCTCTTGAATAGCACCAACATCTCCTTAGGCATGATGATCAGTATCCAGAATGGTAAAATAAAGACCACGTTATACAATAAACCCACAGACCAACATACAGATCTTCACAGAACCAGCAATCACCCTAAACACACTAAGAAAGCTGTGATATACAGCCAAGCCCTCGGATACCACCAAATTTACACTGAGGAGAACACCCAGGATTACCACCTCACTAATCTTAAAAAGGCTTTCACTCAACAAGGACACTCCTTCAGAGAGAGAGATCTCACGTTTGAAAGACCCACCCAGGGTACCAAGTGAAGAATTTTTGCAGTACAGAAGGAAATCCCCCACGAATCGCACACCATTGGTTATGACATATCACCCCTCCCTGGAACCTATATGGAAAATCTGCAAACAATTACTACCCATACTAGAACGAGACCCAGTTCTTAAAGAGATCTTCCCAGAACCACCAATCTTAGCCTTCAAACAAGCATCAAACTTCACTAACCTCATCACCAGAAGCTAACTTCCTACAGCCCAAAACACATGAAATGGATCCAGACCATGCCATGACAAGAAATGTAAAACCTGCTAACACATCTCCACCAGCCCCACAATTACCATACCCCACAACAGAGCCATCAGCATCCCAGGATCTTACAGCTGTACCTCCAGAGATGTAATATACCTCATCTAATGCACCAAATGCCCTGATGGAAAGTACATAGGAGAGACCAAACAACAGCTGTGTACCAGAATAAAAGCACACTGGAACTCTATCAAGGACAACAATACCCAATTACCCGTGGGGGCAAATTTCTCACAAGAAAACCACTCTCTCTCTAATCTCTTAGTTCTAATTTTCAAAGGGAATTTACAAAACATTTTTCACAGATGAGCCTATGAACTTCACTTCATCAACCTCCTGGAAACAAAAAATCATGGACTAAATATAGACATTGGATTTATGACACATTATAACTTGCCTGACACTTGACTCCCCAGGTATGTCTCCACTATTTACCAGCTACATTCATTGCCCTACTCCTCCCCAGCCTGTTTCTCACCCACTGACTCCTCAATTTACATCTTCACTGACTGCCTGTCTTGCATGCATGCCAGCACAGCCTTTGGCTTCTTTACTATTCATTCCATCCAGGAAGAGCACACACCAACTACAGATGCTTCCTCAGCCTAATGAAGGGTATTTAAACCCAAAAGCTTGCTAAGAAGAATTTTTTCCAACTATTTGAGTTGGTCTAATGAAAGATATTAGATTTATGCAAAGAACCTTGTTTGCCTAGGTCCTTAGACCAACATGGCTACAACCTATACCCCTCTAGATTCTGTAAGTAATTCCTAACCTGTTCTGTCATCATTACTCTAGGCTGTTTTACTTCTTCCCTATCTTTGCTCCCAACTGTTCTTGTCATCTGTTAGTTGCCCCTACTTGTGAAGACTGAAGTCAAAAAGGCATTAAACCTTCTTTGGGTCACCTATAACTAAATTGCCTTCTGCAATCCATAAGGGACCTACAGCTTCTTTGGTCTTTCTCTTCCTCTTGATGGACTTACAGAATTCCTTTTTATTGCCTTTTATGTCCCTTGAAAGCAGCATCTCAAATAGTGCCCTGACCTTCCTAATTTTCTTCCTGCATGCCCATGTGATATGCTTATATTCTTCCCTAGTGTTATGACCAAGTTTCCACTTTTTATAGGATTTCTTTTCTGAATTTCAGCTCATTGAAGAGATTGCTGTCTACCCAGGCTGGTCTCCTGTTGCATTTATCATTCTTCTGTCACATCAGAATAGCTTACTTCTGTATCCTTAAAAGGGCCTCCTTAAAGTACAGCCAGTTATCCTGGACTCCTTTTCCCCTCAGACTTGCCTCCCAGGGGATCCTGGCTATCAGTCCCCTGAGTTTGCTAAGGTCTGCTTTACTGATGTCTTTATTCAATTGATCTCTTTCTGTCCTCTTCTTCGAGATTTTTGTAGATTTCCATTGAGTACAAGAATTGAACTCAGAAGTTGAGTAGTTGTTTAGTGAAAAGTGCTCTCCCACAGGTGATTGGACACTTCTGAACTTTATCATTTTTCTGTGAGCGTCCATTCTGGAGCTTACTGATTACTTAGTTACACTAATATAGTTTCCATGAGGGCATCTGGTGCACTGGATGAGATATAGCCTATCCTGTGATAGACATGTGTAGGATCTGTAGATTCTGGTGGTTTCATTGTCAAGTGTGTTGAATGTGGTAGCAATGGAGATGTGTTGACAAGATTTACATTTGCTGTTTAGGCAAAGTCATATTCCACTTGGTGTTTGTTGTCTAGCAGGGGTTTACTTCTGATGATGAACTGGGTGAGGTTTGGAGGTTATCTGAAGGCTGGAGGTGGGATAGGGTAGGATATTTCTTTCAAGGTATGGTTCTCTTGAGTATAGAATGTAATTCTTTGACAATATCTCTTTTAGGTTCCAGAGTGCGATGATATACAGCAACTGAAGATGAGCAGTTTTCTTTTTGTTTTGTAGTGGTTTACTGTGGGATATTTAGTTGACTCATTCGAAGATGCAGTTTATATCTCTACTGGAGTTGCATGGCTAGTTAAAGGAAGTTACTGGGTTGGTGAGATGAGTGTCAAGAGTATTCTCAGAGCAAATGTGATGGTATCTGAGGGCCTAGTTATTGATTAACACTACAGCTTTCTTGGTGTATTTTCTATGATTGCTGGTTTTGTGGAGGTGTGATCTCTGGGTTTTGTGTTTATGGTAGTTCATAGTGTACCATTCTGGTTTTATTCACCAACGTTTTATCCTTATCCAAAATTTACTCTTTCGGTAGATATTATTTTCTGTAACAGAGATCTGGATTCTAATGTAATATGCAGCAGATACTTTTATGAGACAAATTCTTCCATTTTGAACAGTGCTGTTCTCTAAATATTTCTTGAAAGGTTAAATTATGTTGTCAAATATTAATGTATGCTTCCTTTGAAAACTCCATTTTTATTGACTATAGATATATGTCCAAAACTGAAGGACCTGGCCAAAAAAATGTAAGTCACTAAAAGAAAACTGAGCGATGGTTGAAGCTGATAAAGATGGTTCTAACCAGAAGCATAGTTTACTGTAAGAACTATAGAAAACTGGAAAAATCTATACAAAATTCCAGTGTTTACAGGGTCTGTTGTATCTGTTGACATCTCTTTTGTAACTTCTTCAGTAGCCCAAGAGTTCATCTGGAGTAAGGGGGAGAGTATATGTCTTTATTTTCTGTCTGCTCATTGTCTATGGGTTCAGAATTTTGTTGTTGTTAAAATGCTCTCTTTGCAAGATCTCAGTCATAGGAGGTGTTACAACCTTTAAATCCCTCGATATCAGTGGGAATTGAAATTGATTATTGCCTCTCAGTAGCAGGTCCTGACATTGTTTGCTTTTTCCTTTCAAAGTTTGTACACATACAAAGCTATGCACTGCTTTTCCTTGTGTTCTGCACCTCTGGCACGAGGGTACCTGAGCTCTTTTTGGAAATATATATATTTTTTGTATTACTGGAAACTGTGTAACATGTATAACTGATTTTTTATAACTGAAACATGTATAAATAATGTGGATGTATGATAGCCTTCCTCTCACACTGAACAGTGTGTGTGGATGTTTATAATAGCCATATATAATTGTAACCGTTTTGCTAGGTACCAGTTGGCAGCAACAAGGCCTGGTTTCAATTCTGGGGTCTAAATATATTTTACCTTGCCTCAAGCCCCCACCCAGACCACCTGGGAAACACTAAATAAATTACTAAGGTGTCCCGCATAAACAAAGCCCCTTCATTGAAAGCTGTGGAGACACAGAGGATAAATTTATTATAAACATGAAGGCAAAGAAAACAAAGAAAACACTAAATACAATTTAAAACATTGCCAATTACAAGGCATAGTTCATGGATTGCATCGTCTTGAGAAGGCTTCACCCATGCCCAGGCAGTCTGGGACTTGGAGCTCACCCAAACGGCAGTTCTAGAGGCTTGCATCCCTATACCTGCCCTTCAGAAATGGGCTGGAGGGAGAGGCTTTACTGGAAAGTCCTTTGAGTTGTTCCTTGGATTTACTGAGCCATGGGAAGCTGCTAGAGAGCGTAGATCCTTCCCTGTTGCGAGGGGCCCCTCGTTGCTCCCTGACGCTGTGGGGTGATTCCCACTTCCATGTGGTGGCCTTGAGGTGTTAACTGTGGCTCCAGACAGCATCCCTAAATCCCTAGGCCCAATCCCAGCTCTGCTGGGCAGAAACTGCAAGAAAACAACTTTTGAAGGAGAGGTCAGGCCTGTCTTACAGGGCCTGAACTGGGCAGCAAAAGCCAACCAGACCTATGCTGCACTGACACCTGAATGTATAGCTGGGGTTCAGCCATGCAGCTAGGTTGAAACACCATACCTGTAGAAACAGCCGGAAAAAAGGCTCAGGCCTGTGGCTGTGGCCTGGACACCCAGTCTCAGCTACACCCCATGCTGAGACAATACAATTACAAATCAGAGCGGGCCAGGCCCCTGGAGCCAGTAATTGCCAGGACCCATTTCTGGGTAGTTTGCTTCAGTGACTAACACCCTCATGGTGTTAACCTACTTAAGAAAAAAAGAAGAAAAGCCAGAGGGAGGTAATAGGAGTTTTAAACTGCAGAACAGACTTTCTATCCCTCTACCTGAGCCTTTCCCTTGAAATAATGTTTGCCTGCCTCTCCAGTGAAGACAGGGGGGACACAACCTCCCACCATGGGGAGCAGGTTTTCTAGCTGTGTAGCTGTCAGCAGGCAGAACCTTAATGCGTTGTTCTTACATACCTGGTGTGACATCACCCAAGCCTTGTCCAATCCAGGAGGGCCACATTTCAGTCTTTCTTCCAACCAATCTGCCTGAAGCATCCTCTGCTTCCTCTGACCAATGACGTCAGAGGGTTTTACACATTTTCCCTAGATACAGGCCCCAACTTGCCACGTGCTGAGCTCCTTGCCAGAACAACGGGGGCCATCTTGCCCATATCAACACACACACACACACACACACACACACACACACACACACACACACACACACACACACACACACACACACACACCCCCCCCCAGTGTGTGTGGGGGTGTTACATAATATGTGTAGTAAAATGCTCTCAAGCCCTGATCCCTCTGAAGTAACATAGCTAGACTTCTTACAGATGAGCATTCAAGAAAGCACACAGTACTGCAACAGTATTGTTGCTATCAAATCAACGTGTACAAACGCTCAAGTGATAAAAATAAGGAAGGGAGCATTGCTGATTACCTTGTATTGTGGAAAGCTCTTTCCACTTTTCTTTCTGAAGGTAGCTGTCCATTAAAGTTTCCTAACACATTAATCTTTCTGTCTGACTAAAATATTCATATGCAGTAATATCTTGTTTTGGTTCAGTGCACCAAAGAAAAAAGTAATCAGCGTTCACAGTATTTCTTCCCTCTGTAGATCAGGGCATTGTTAAATACATAATACTTGCCTGATGGCTCTGTGTGCACATCCCATCCTTGTTCCTATCTTATCTATTTGTACAGTGAAAGTCTTAACTGATTTTCCAAGCTGCTGCTGCTTTCAGTAATTATCAGACAGTGGTATTTTCCTGCCACTTTGTTTCAGTAACTTCTGTTGGGAAGATCTGGGTAATTTGGTTATGGACTTGCCTTAGTCATTGTTTCTGAATTAAACTTAGATGGCTAAAGGCCCAAATCTGATGGCCCAAATAATGAGTTTATAATTTATTAAAGTTTAATTCTTTAAAGGTTCTTTTGATAAGTTACTCCATGAACATAGCAACTGGGTAGGTTTGAAATTAATAGATTCTATCTTGTATGCCTATTATTATTTTTTGAAGCCTGTTAGAAAAGAAAAATTATGCAAATTGGTGTCACGCTAGGCTACTGCACACATGCTGGTAATGCATAACAACTAGCTTACTGATGAAATTACTTCATCTTGAGCAAGACTTATTGTCAGCACAAAAAGCTATACTATGTATCACAGTTAACAGTTTATTATTATTTTTCTTATGGATAAAGGATAATATCTGTTTTTATTAAAAATATTCATTACAATAAAACTGCCTTAAAAGTACCATTCAAGCACTCCAATGATGAGCTATGATTGATTGCACTACAAAATGAAGGTGTATTGCAAAACAATACAAGAATTCCTTCAAAGAATTAAACAGTTGGTGCTCTGTCCCCATGAATGGCTAAGTGGCTTTAATTCTTCAGCTCATATGTAAAACACTCGATAAATAGATCAGGCTCAGGACCAATTAGTGTCAAATTAATCTTCAGTAATAATGAAGTGAGCCTGCTACGGATTGACCGATTTATCTGTGCCCTCCATGACAAGCATCTTAAGTTAACACACGCTATATTGTCTGGTAGTAGGACACAGAAAAGAATATGCAGGATATACTGTACTGTGCAGCAGTAGCAGATGCGAGCTCTTCCTGTGAAGAAACGATTTCTTAGTCCTGAAGAAATCTGGTATTTCTTTGTGGGAGAAAAATCCAATATAAGATAAGCTGGTTTCAGAAAATAGGTCACTAATGTAAGTTTGCAGTTATTTTCTTTCCAGCTTTCTCCTGCACCTGCTGTAGATGTATTTTCCCTATCCATGGTCACAGAATTTCAAGCTTTTGTAATTAGAATTCTGGGAAGAGACTGTTTTTGGTTTGAGGGTCACTATTCTGTTCAGAGCCCTTGACCCTTATATCTACATCACTAGCACATGCGCTTTGTTTGCACTGTTAAATTGCTGTGAAAAGAGGTGGAGAAAACCTTCTCAGGTATTGATTTTTCACGCACACAGAAAGCATAGTTTCTAGTCACTTGATTTGCACCTGCAGTGTGTAACTGAATGGGCTCATGGGAATATGAACTTCATTTTAGCACTGACTTTCTAGCTTGAGGCAAAATTGAAGTGTATTAACTGTTAGTGATTTGCAATTGTTTTAATAGATTTTCTTTCTGGAATATTAGTTAGATGCTTAAACTGAATAATCTGGCATTGAAAATACCATTGTTTTAGGAATTTTTAAAAAAGCTCTTAATTTTAACTGTAAGTTTTAACTTCCAGTGACTGACAGCTAGATGTTAGCTTGGAAAATTTAATCTACTTAATATTATTTTCTTAGTTTAACTATAGTATTTATCATCATTCAACTATAACTGATCAGATATGTCGTTTTATTCAATACTGAACATACAGAATAATCAAAGACATAGATGTACAGCTGATTAATTTTACTGTAAAATGGGTTGTATTGCAGTCGCCCATCATCATCTTGAATGGTACTGTGCATCAGACATTCCCACTGATTTCAACAATAGCTCCAAATACTCCTTCCCTTTCAGGATCAGACCTTCCAAGGCTGCGTGAAGATACCTGTTTTTACTTTATTAGTTGTTTATGCAGAAGATGTAACTTTATGCAATGATACATTAATCTGAGTCATAGCAAAACATTACTTTTCACCACTGAATACGAAATTTTCTGCTAACTCTGAAGAATTATACATTTTCATGAATTTATTTAAAGCATAAATTTGCACTTATTGTCCAGAAACATTGGTAGTATAGTTCCACCCTGCAAAGTAACAGTTTTGCACCATGACATTTTTTTTGCAGAAGAATTGAAGATCAAAATGACACACACATATATATTTGTGAAAAATGCAATTCTGCTCTTAATTTGCAATTACTGAGAATTATTTGTGCACTTTACATTTTCTTTTTAGTTGAATTACTTCTAATGTGTCATCAATCATTAATGCCAACTCCCTTTATTTTAAACTCTCTTGAAAGCATATTCTAAATTTAATGAGAAAATCCTATGACTGTAAAATAATTAAGTATCTCACATTCTTTGTACATACTCCATTTAAGAGTTTTATCATGTGATAGATCCAAATCTGTTCTGTCAGATCTATGGACTTGCATGGATATAGATGGAAATGAATCAGAGATATACCTTTCTACTGAAGCAGCAATAATTGGGTTTATGGGGGCTCTGCATGCATCAAGTTTTTGCTCATTAACTCAGAACTTCACAGTCTAGTAGGCTGTATTGTTCAAGC